TAAATAAACCCATTTTTTTCAATCTTCCCTCATAGGTCATGTTTTCTAGACCTTTCATCATTTTTGTTGCTCTTCTCTGGACTTTCTCCAATTTGTCCAGATCTTTGCTGAAATGTGGCTCCCAGAACTGGACAAAATACTCCAGTTGAGGCCTAATCAGTGCAGAGTAGAGCAGAAGAATTACTTCTTCTTGTGTTGCTTACAACACTCCTGCTAATACATCCCAGAATGATGTTTGCTTTTGTTGCAACAGTGTTACCCTGTTCACTCATATTTAGCTTGTGATCAACTATAACCCCCAGATCCCTTTCCGCAGTATTCCTTCCTAGGCAGTCATTTCCCATTTTGTATGTGTGCAACTGATTTTTCCTTCCTAAATGGAGTACTTTGCATTTGCCCTTATTGAATTTCATCCTATTGACTTCAGACCATTTCTCTAGTTTGTCCAGATCATTTTGAATTTCAATCCTATCCTCCAAAGCACTTGCAACTTCTCCCAGCTTGTTATCATCTGCAAACTTTATAAGTGTGCTCTCTATGCCATTAGCTAAAGCATTGCTGAAGATATTCAACAGACCACAACCCAGAACTGATCCCTGCAGGATCACTTGATATGCCATTCCAGCTTGACTGTGAACCACTGATAACTATTCTCTTGGAATGGTTTTCCAACCAGTTATGCACCTACCTTATAATAGCTCCATCTAGGTTGTATTTCCTTAATTTGTTTATGAGAAGGTCATGCAAGACAGTATCAAAAGCCTTACTAAAGTCAAGATATACCACATCTACCACCTCCTCCCTATCCACAAGGCTTGTTACACTGTCAATTTTGGATTCAGCAGCCAAAGTACAATTAGTGTCCATGGATTCCTGCATCCCAGTTCGACAGCAACTTGGGAATGTATTGTGTCAGTGAGGGGGCTTGGATAAGTCCATTAGTGTGTTCTTATCCCTGATTTTGCCTTTCATCATTTTTGTTGCTGGAACAACAGTGATGGGATTGCTACTAGACATTGTTGTGTATCTAGGATGAGCTGTTCACCCAATGACAGAGAACATAATAACAAACTGGTGCCTGGATGTGAGTTGGTAGCAGCAGGGGGCATCAGAGAATTGAGGCCAGGTTTGTAAAGCTATCTAGGCATCAAGCGAGATTTTCAGAAGCACCTGGGTGCCTAAACCCCATTTATTACAACGGATCAGGGACACCTAGATGCTTTTGAAAATCCCACTATGCCCCTAAATACCTTAAAAATTCTGGACCATAGGCCTAGAATAAATAGACTTATCTGTTGTAGTTTATTACAGAATAAATAGAATTCCAGTATGTTGGGTTGGGGGCAGCTCATTTCCAGCAAATATCCCTTGATTTTGGAATTGCTTGACTTTTCCCCCACTGCAACCCAAGTTTGTTGACCTCATGGGCATGGAAGTAGCCATATTTTTATTCCTGCCTCTTTCTTTCTTTCTTTCTTTCTTTCTTTCTTTCTTTCTTTCTTTCTTTCTAGCATAATGGCTTTTGGATATCCCATTCTTAGGTGCCTATCTCTTCCCATTCATTGTATAGGGAGCCTGGGTGCCTAAATCAGGACTTGTGGATTCCACTGGCTGTCTTGGTGTCTTAAAATTAGGTGTTGCAACACATTGCAATGCCTTAGTCTCTTTGTGGATCTGGGCCTTGGCCACCCAGTGAAAACCAGAAACAAGAGGTTAGGAACATAGGGTCCCTCATCCCCCGTGTGTGTCCCTACCCCTGGGTTACAAGTTATGAGTCGGGTTGGCAGAATTCATTTTAAAAAATAATTATTTTGAACAATATTATTAATGTTTATTTTTAAGCTTTCCGATCCCCCCAATTTTTATTGATTTAGGATTTCACAGTTGTGCAAAATCAGGGGTTTTAAGCTCCTCCCCACATCCCCACAATGTTTATCTTTTTAAATTTTCACAGATGCAGGAAATTATGGTGGAGGGGATCATACAATAATTATTTAATGATAGTAGATGCTGAGTTTCAAAAAGATAAAGATTAATAAAATGTTATAATACACATTGTCACATCACATGTGAAAATATACAAAGTAAATATCCTTAAATAAAATTGTAATAAGTTCTCAGGTAGCATTTTTCTTCCTTTGCCTATCTGTCAATTTTGATTATCGATTGAAAAAAATTTTTTTTGTCGGTTTGTGGGTCTTTGGTGAAATTGACATTTATTAATATTTACCAATAAAAATCGAATCCCTCCTAGCCTACTTATGAAGGAAATTCTCCTTCCCCCCTCCACTGTTTTGAGTGGATTTTGGCATGCTCAGAACCCACCAACCAGATAAAGTTCCACAGGAGAAAGAAGTGCAGTAATGCCTATGTTCACCTGGTTTGAGGATCTGGCTGGGGCTTAGACTTGAGACAGGCAACCAGGCACCTCAAGTGAGGCAGCAGTGTGCATGCCTAGAGGCAGAAACATAAGCACATAGGGGACTTTTGCAGCAAAACTTTAGGCATCAAGTGAATTAAGGCACTTACAGGGTTAGGCAACAGCTAAGTGGGAGCTTTGAGGATCTCAGTCATGCCTAAATTTGGAACTTAAGTGTCTAAAGTAGTAGTGTTGTGTTACTTAAGATGGACTATGTGGGCCCAGAAAGTCAGAGGTGTTAGCATAACCCTGTCACTGGCCAATATCAAACAATGTTAAACAAGTTTCAGGGTTTGATTCACACAGGCCTCAGCCTGCTTAATCCCATGGCAAAGAAACTATTAAAATCCTTTTAACCTTTTATTAAAGGTAAAGAAAAAAAGAAAGCACAGTTAAAGCATTTGAAATGTAAGGTATTAAATAAGGCTTTCATTTTAACAACGTCCCTCGCTCCCTGTCTCTTTAGCTGAAGAGAGTTTTAGAAGGAAAAACACCAACCCTTGTCCGTCAGTCTCTTAGATGGCATCAAAGATGATAATAACTGTCCTTTGGAGGGAAAGTAAAGAAATTAGTTGAGATGGGCAGGAGCTGTTATTGTTAAAGTCCCTCCAATCCCATTTCATTTGAGGTGGTGTTTGGGACTTAACCTGTTGATAACATTTATTAGTGAACTTTCCATAGTGAATTCCCAAGCAGCCAAAAATTATGGGCCCAATTGTCACAGCAGTAGTTAGGCACCGAAATGCTTTTGTGGATCTGGGTCTTAGTGCTAAAGGACCTGCCCTGAGTAAATGGAATAGATATAATTAGAAGTGAGCACCTCCTGTTGTCCAGACCAGTGCATAACCCACTGGACTATGCTGCGTAACAAAGAAGTGTAAGGAACACAATAATTATATGGTAGGAGTCACAAGAAATGAATTAAATGGCCCATTAAAGGTCTCTGCCATCACAAGTGAGCCTATGACATATGGGCAAAGACTAAAACATTCTGAAAGGTACCAGTAGTTGGGTTCACAGATGGTAACCTAGTTAAAATGTATTGGAAAGAAAGTGTCATTTTTTTTATCTTTCCATATACCTCTCAAAAAGTGGCTCTGGGATTCTCCAGTGAGTGGATCCCCTGGGGTACCTGTGATCATTTAAACTAATCAGCCTCACACAGTTGAGGCAGACCTACTTCACAGAGAATGGCAAGTAGATCATTCCTGAGACCAGAAGAACTAGAGTCAACATATAAAAGTACAATTCGCTTAGATGTGACAATACCCACTGGACAAGTCAAAAGACCCTGATGTTGCGGGTGCTCTTTGAGGGCTTCTCACGACTTGACATGAAGGGAAAAATCAGAGCGATTACTTCTTTACAGTATTTGAAGAAGTTCAGAATAAACTACTTTAGCATTTAATCCAAAAGAGCAGGGATTAAAATTTAAAAATTATCCTACAAGAATTTGTTTTACAGTAATTGGTGATGACTGAGGCACAGGGCTCAATCTGTGTCTAGCCGGTTTGGCATTATGGTATCTTCCTAACATCACAGTCCTAGACTAACGTGAGTAACTGTTCTGCCCCCCTCTTCTATTTATTTATTTCCTTTTGTTGTTTTTCTTTTCCCTCTTCTCTTTTATAATATCTTTTATCTCCATTTTTGATAACCTTTTTTCTTATATTTTCATTTCCCCTTTCTCCTTTCTTTTCTTTCACTCATCTTTTTTTCTTCTTTTTTGTTTTTTTCTTTCCTTCCTTTTACTTTGATTTTTTTTTTGGTTCCTACATTTTTTGTTTATCTTTTTTCTCCTTTCCTTTTTATTCTCATTCTTCATTTCTCTACTTTTATTTTCACCCTCTCATTTCCTTTATTGCTTTTCTCTATTTCTTTATTTTAACTTTTACTTCTCCTTTCTTTTTTTTTTTACCTTTTTCTTTCTTTCCCTATTTTTAAGCCTAGTCCAAATATTTCTATCAAAACTTTTTTTTTACCAAAAAAAAGGGGGTTTCAATTAAACTAAAAACTTTGTGGTAAGTGTCTGCTTTCTGTGGACAATTTTTGATTTTTCATTAAGAAAATAAAAACCAGAAAGTTGAAGCGTTTTCAGCTGAAAACTTTTCTTATTTCTTCCCCCCTCTCCCCCACACCTCTAAAAAAGTCAAAAATTTGCACAGAGAAACAATTCCACCCAGTTCTGCTCTTCTTTATTTTTTGGGCTTTTCTCTCCTCTGCTTTTCTTTCCTATTCTGTTTGCCATTTGTTTCCTCTTCTCATTGTCTTCCCTTCCCTGCTCACATTGACTTGTTGTTCTTCCCATCCCACCCTTTGACCACAGGGTACATTTTTACTTGATGTATTGTTCTTTTGTCTTCTTCACTTTTCTTATTTCACCCTTGCTTTCCTCCTCTACATTTTATCACTTTTTCGTCCTTATCTCTTTTCCTTTTCCTTTTATAGTCTCTTCTGATCTTTTCTTTCCTCTTCTCTACTCTTCTGTTTTTCTACTTTTCTTTTCTCCTGTTCATCTGACACATTATTCCTTATTCCCTCCATCCTCCCTCTACCCCACACAGATAGCTCCAATGTACCCATGTGGAACCAAACCAACGTGACTGAATTCATCCTCATGGGCTTCCTCTACCCCCACCATCTGGAATGCCTCATGGCTGTTGGCTTCCTGGCCTCTTACCTGCTGATCTTGTCTGGCAATATCATGATCATCGCCATCATCCTCTTAGACCGTCACCTCCACAGCCCCATGCACTTCTTCCTCTGGAACCTCTCCTGTTTGGAGATTCTTATTACATCTTCTGTCCTACCCAAGGTGATTGTCAGCTTCCTGACGGGTGACAGGTCCATCTCCTACCTGGCTTGTATCACTCAGTGCTACTTCTACTTCCTTCTGGGCTCCAGTGAGTTTGTCCTGCTGGCCGTTATGTCCTATGACCGCTATGTGGCCATCTGCAACCCACTGCACTACACCATGGTCATGAATGCTCAGCTCTGCTTCCAGCTTGTGGTGGGGTCGTGGGCAATGGGGTTCCTGGCCACCATCACCCCCACCATCCTGGTCATCACCCTGCCCTTCTGCAATGCCAACCAGATCGACCACTTCTTCTGCGACAGCTTGGCCTTGGTCAAGCTGTCCTGTGTGGACACGAGCTTTGTGGAGCTGCTGAGTTTCATGACCTCCTCCGCCATCCTTCTGGGCTCCTTGATCCTGACGGTGGTGTCCTATACCTACATTGTTGCCACCATCTTCAGGATAACCTCCCTCTCAGGACGCAAGAAGGCTTTCTCCACCTGCTCCTCCCACTTCATCATCATCACCATGGGCTACGGCAGCTGCATCTTCATGTATGTCCGGCCTTCGGGAAGCGACACCTCGCTCAACAAGCTGGTGGCCCTGCTCAACACAGTGGTGACCCCTCTCATGAGCCCCTTCATCTTCAGCATGAGGAACCAGCAGATGAAAGATTCCCTGAGGGCAGCCTTGAAGAGAAGCATGAACTTCTCAAGGAAACATATTAACTTCTGAATGGGTTTTGTGAGGAGAAAAGAAGGGGAAATTAAACAAGAGTAAAAGCTATAGTACTCTCCTAAGATATAGTACTCTCCTAAGAAGTGGTAGTTCCCTGTTCAAATCCCTTTTCTCCTAAGGCAAAGGGGGAAATTGAAATTCCGCCTCCTAGTTGAGTACCCAAATGACTGAGCTAAGAGTGATGAATGAGTCATCCTTCTCATTCCCCAGGCCTCTTGCGAAAAACACCTTTGGTGCCTTACCCCAAGAAAGTGTTCACAGCTGACAGTTAGGCACCTCCCTGGAATCTCACATTAGCTAGCCTAGATGAGGAACCCCTGAGCATGCTGGCTTTTGTGAATCCCATTTTTAGGTGCCTACCTCTCCCCATTCATTGAGGCTTTGTGAATCCCTTTGAATTTCTAGGTACCTAAAAATCAGCTGCTTCAATTACCAGCACCGGGACATCTATGCCCCTTTGTGAATCTAGCCCATGTTGTCTTGGTCTATTACTGGGGTTCCTAGTTGATCCTGAAATACAAATAATAAATAATAAAGACTATGAAATACATGACAGTTATGTAGGAGTGGTTATGGGGTACACATATTATGGCAGTGCGATGGTGCAATCATGGTGAAATGGATTGTGCATCATGATCTCTCTCAAGCTAACTCATCAAAATAAGCAACAAAGAGTCCTGTTGCACCTTATAGACGTATTGTAGCATAAGCGTTCGTGGGTGAATACTCACTTCGTCAGATGCATGTGAGTATTCACCCACAAAAGCTTATGCTCCAATACGTCTATTAGTCTATAAGGTGCCACAGAACTCTTTGTTGCTTTTTACAGATCCAGACTAACATGGCTACCCCTCTGATACTTGTCATCGAAATAAATGTCTCATGTATCTACCTATTGACTCTATCTATTCAGGTGGTGATTTTCAAAATAGTTTGGGGATGCAAAAGTTGTTAACACTTGACTGACTAGAGGTCAGGATTCTGACCTATATACCTTCTCAGGTTGGTCTGGGATTTGAGGGCCCCACTGCCACAAGGCCCCACCAATTGGCTCACACTCCCATGGGACCTGCACGGAGCCCTAGATTGAGACCAACAGACAGATAGGAGTGTGGGCAGGATGCAGAAGCTGTCATGGGGGCTGGAGATAAAACCAAACACTCATGACAAATGCCCTGGGAAGCGTGGTTTCAGGAGATATTGACAGTTGTGATTTCTGGATTTCAGTACTGATTGGTTAAGGGGAGAGGAGGAACTACCAGCAAAAGTTCCTGCCTGTGCCCCAGAGCACATGCTCAATGGGTGCAGGACCTACATCATGTCCCCCTTAGCACTGCCCCCAACAACTCTCTTAGCATTGCCCCCTGACCAACCAGCACTGAGGGGCGAGAACCGATTTTGACATCTGGAGTGTGAAATGTTTGACGGGAGGGGTGTGAAGAAATTTATCAAGGTGTGCAAGATGTGTATTCCATAACTATATTGACAGCCCACTTGGATTTTCACAAAATTCTAATTGAGGAGGTTTCCAAATGCCATTCAAAGTCAATAGGAGTTGGATGATTGTGAGTATTCACCTTTGTGTTTTAATGGAATCATATCCCAGAATAAGAATCCATTTCCTTAGTGCTTCCCAGAGTGTTGAAAACTGAGACTTTCTTCAGGGGAATGAAACCAGTCACAGACTCTGTCCACCAGCCTATGCTCACTCAGTCATTTTTGTAGATCTTGATGATATGGCTAAAATAATGAAGACTGAGATTGTCAGTCACCCAACTTCCCTTGATTTTGAATTGCCTTTGGGAGCCTATGTCCAGCAGACTCCTTTGAAAATCCAAGTCTACAACCATGTAGGGAGTCATATCAATGCTCAGATGATCCAATCAGGACCGGAGATCTATTGATCTGCCCATAATAAGGGTATAATTGAAAATCGGTGCCTTCACTGAAGAGCTATCAATTAAAGAAGACAGTTGGCCTCCACAGGAAGGAGGAGAGAGATTATGAAATACTTACATACTCAGAACCAGCTCCCTGATGTGCCCTGTTCTCTAAAAATTTTGACTCCCATCTGCCCCCAAGCCACCCGCCCCACACACTTTAATTGCTACACCCACTCCTCTCCCAGAGCTAGGAATTGAACCCAGAAAAACTGATGCTCAGCTACCTGCTATAACAGTCTATCTTCTTGGAACAGACTTCTCTCAGGTCATTGGAGAAGTGTCCTTACTATGTTATTCACAAACATATTTATCAATCGGAGGTTTTATTATTCATATACCACCTCTTCTTAATAATCATGATTGGTGAAAATCATGGGCAAGAAAAGATTGGCTCTAAAGGCTGACACTGTTGCCATCAGTGTCATAACTTTGTCAATTGCAAAGATCTGATGTCTGAGAGGAAGGTGAAGAAAACCCTTATAAAACAAGGCAATAATGCAACTCTGCACATGAGGACAGAGTTCCTCCAGTGGCCCATCAAACAGCTCAGGCTAAGGCTGAAGTACCGACAGTCCCACTAACCTGCTTCAGTCCAGCCTTGGGGAGCCTGCATCCAGGTGTTCCAGGCTAGCTCAATGTCCATGATCCTTCCGTGTCAAATACACTCCAGGCCTGTGCACCACTCAAGGCCTTTGCAGGTTTAGGCTAGGATTTTCAAAGGAGCGAAAGGGAGATGATTGTCCAGTTCACACGAAAGTTATCCCCAATGGGAATGGTTTGGGAATGACACCGGAGTGAATTTCACCACTAGCCCTTGGCCACTGAGATGAATTTACCAAGAAGTTTGAAAATTATTTCCAAGGCTGTTGGTGAATACATTTTAGACATGGAGACTTGTCCACTGGGAGCTGGTCTGGGAACCACTGCATACATTTCACATGAGACAACAAGCAGCCATCATGTGGTACCAAATTGGAGTCACGCCTGCCAGGGGATAGATCTGAACTGGAGATTTATAAATTAATGGTGGGAGGAGCTGACATCCATGGAGGATGCTGTCCTTGGCTTTCTGTAGATCTATCACAGGTTGAAAACGGACCTGTGAATTTCCCTACACACACTCTTGACCAGTGTACCTCAACTCTGTCTTTAAGAACTCATTCAAGGGATGAGAGGGAAGTTAATAACTACCCATGGTCCAGTGAGTTCTCAGCTCCATCCTGAGCGTGCCAACAATGGAGATCAATGTGTTCCAAGTTGGATGTTGAGATCATGATGAAGTGAACACCATGTCTCTTTAAAGACTAGTCAGATCTCACACTAGTTCCACCAAGATCTATGCTGTTGAGATCACTGGCAATTATTGCTAAAAGCTTTTGGCCTACCTATCAATTATATTTGTTCTTGACATTTGTGGATACAATTTATACATCTTTATTACATGTCCTTCAGGAGCCTGTTCCTGAGAAGCTTATATAAATTTTCCAGGCTCTAAGGGCTTAGGTCCTTATTGCAACAAATACATCTTAATAATGATGAAGAATATGTCAACGGTCAATGCTTGGTGAACTGTCAGTAAACCAATGTTCTGACCTTTATCAACAAGTACAGTTGACACTGCAATTTGGATCCGACCATCACTGAATTTAATGGTAGTTTCTTTATTGCTGAGTTGATTTCATTGATCCAAGTGCTTACAAACAGAATACAATTACTAATTCTCCCAGGCACCCCTAGTCAGAGAGAACCCTGGGGATTTTATCCCGGTGGTCACTGAACAGTACAGAAAGGATCAATGTCTGAGATTCACTAGCAGAGAAGCTTCTGTCAAGATAAGTCAGTTTCGGAACTGATGGAACTGCTCAGAAGTGGGAAGTTTCGACTGCTCAGAGTAAGGTATTTGTAGGACAGTCTGAGGCATTTTCCTTCTTTACTATTATGACCCTAAGTTCATTTTATGGCGTCATCAACACCTAAATTATCTCCAGAATTGAAGGAAAAATAGACAACCTCTTTCACTCTCTCTCTCATCTAATCACTCAATCGAATTTACTCTTATGTATCTAATCTACAGAATTGTTCTTAATTTCTCTCTGTTTTATCAAAGGTATTATGCATAACGTCTTTCTATCAAGGTGACTAATGGTAATGAATGATTCATCTATCTGCCTATCGACTCTATCTATTTACAATGTCATTTTCAAAGACACCTACAATATATTCATCTACAGGATTGTCTCTCGTCTTACCCAGATTTGAGAATCCCACAGACACACCGGAGAATCTTATCTGTCTAGAAGAATAGAAATTGGTCCAGCTGAGTTCCAGCAACGTGAGAGGTAAATCTAACCACATTAGCTGGCAGTGAAGTGTAAGATTAGACGAGACCAGCCATGTGTCTAGGCTGTTTATTGTTGGTTTGTCTAGAGCTTTTTCTCTCAACACTCTGGTATCTCATTCTCATTAATGGGATGGCACCGTGTGAGGTAAGGAAGTGGGAACAAATGTGCGGGTGCTCTTTAATAATCATTCGTAGGGCTGCATGTCTGTCACAATTGGAAAAAAGTCACAGACACTGTGATTTTCCCATTTGTTCATTACTTTTTGTGTGTGTCCATGACTCACACTGCAGTGGGGGCTCCTGCAGTGCCTGTCCTGGGGGATGTCCCCAGCCCCCCACTCCAGGCATTGTGACCAAGTGCACGGGGTCACAGCAGCACTCAGGTGTGGCCCAACTGCCCCTCTGGAGTGAACACAGCAACTACCAATGTCCGTTGCTGAGGTGAGTGTGGGACATGGTGTCAGAATCGCCAACCAGAGATGAGTAAGATCCAAGAGACGGAACACCTGATATGTGTTCACACAATCATCATCTATCTATCTATCTATCTATCTATCTATCTATCTATCTATCTATC